GAATGACCTATTATAATCACCCCTAAATACCACACTCTTACACAATTAATTTATAACATTGGAGTTTAAACTCCTGCATAAGTTGGGAGTGGGGACCATGTTCAACCCATAACACACTTTCTTCCAAACTCTTGAAGTGACTTCCTGTCCCTGACTATCCAGTCCTACAAGTCTCAAGCTCTCCAAAAGCTGTTCACTTTTGAACAGAACTCACAGAACTGCCAGAAACCATCTGACAACCAATAAGGAGAGTGCCTGAAAATGAAACCAAGTGTAGGGGACAAGCCTGAGGAAGAGAGGAGGGAAAACTGGGTCCTGTGATGGAAGTTGAAGCCTGGACCATCTGAGTTTCTTGAGTCTAGGCATTTGGTCACTTACAACCTGAATTACACCAATACAGCCCAGTTTTAGGCATACTGGCTTCCAGCCCCACTCAGGCTTAGACCACCTTCTGCTGCTCTCCTTTGCAGCTCCATTGGGTGTTTCCCTAGCAGGCCTGCCTGCTCACTCTTTCCTGAAATCATCTCTGGTTGTCACAGGTGACACCCTTGTCTTACTTAGCATTGCCCTTGGTGCCCCCATCACCCATTTTCAGTGTAATGAAAAATTTTCATATATAAATAAAATTGGAATCTGAATGCTGTCTTCCAGCCATAGTGAGAATAAATTCAACAGAGATTATTCAAATTTACATTAATTATTATACAGTTCAGTTTCAACTTTAAAATTTTGAGTGTAAGTAGTTACAAGTAAGCTAGAATCTACATAGTGTCAATGAGAAGCCCAGTATGTAGGAATTGTATTGTTCATCAAATGGCTATTCTAAATGTTTACTTGATTTAAACCTATATAAGCACCATTAAAGCCATGGGCATTGATTCTGGATAAAGTTAATACTTTATAGAGTTCACTCATCTGTCTGAAATTTTAAGATTTTTTTTTCTCTCCTCACGGAACTGATAATAATCCTTCACCCTCTGGCAAAAAAGCTCCAGGAAGAAGAGGAAATATTAAAAATAAAGTCTTATGCAAGATGGGGAATTTTTGACTTTTGGGAGCCTATGGTACCATTCATTTACATCAGCTTAGTATTGGTTCAAATTTGAGTGGCTCAGGGTTAATCACCTACAGTTACTGGCACCTAGGCAAAGCCCTGTTCTAAATTCATGACAGGGTCTATAGAGATTACCAAAGGTAGAATGAAGGAGAAGCAGTGTGAAGTCTGCTCTTGCCCCTCACTCTATGTGCTGCTTCTCCATTTTTCAGTCTCAGTGGGCTCCTTGGAGACTCCCCATCTCAGATAGGCACTGACACAGAAGCCATCAACTTACCACTTTCTCTAAGGTGGAATGCAGAATGAACTCTTATAGAGTACAACTTTTTTTGTGATGTAAGTGCTTTTGTGTTACACTAAGGCTGACTCAAATAAAGTGTGATCATTGAGGATCTTAGCACTCATCCTGTTGGGCTCAGCAATAGGAATTTTCAAGGCAATAACATGGCCAGAGAGGTGTTTGTCTCCTTCAGAAGCATTCCTGGTGACATTGTGGTCAGGCTGACAGGCAGCTATAGGTTCACATTTCCTATTAGGTTCACATTTTGTTCTAACAGATGCTGCGGGTGTAACAGATGCAGCCTAGTGTAACAAATTCAGCAAGTGTGTTCAAGCATGTTTTTTGACACCATTTTCAGAAGTGATGATATAGCCTGATTGAAACTAAAATTGTATTTTCTTCTCCAACTGTCAGAAAAACACATCCAACCATGGGGGCTTTACCCATGATTTAGGAATATAAGGTATATATTCCTTTTGCCTCCTACTCTGTAATTTTGAGGTATATTTAAAAAATGATATTTTATCTTCCTGAAGGCTAGACCAATTAGTTCAGATATGTGCTCATTCTTTTCTATCACTTACATAGCCAAGAGTAGATTTAAATTTGAAGATTTATCCAAAACATTAAAAAATTTAGGGTTAAAAAATTTAGTGTGTATGTGTGTGTACAGTTGTGTGTGGGTGTGCTGCAATGCAGGTTTGGTGACCAGTGGGCAACTGTCATAAGTCATTCTCTCCTGCCACCATATAGGATTCATGAATCAAAGTCAGGTTACTGAGCTCCCATACACAAGTCTCTACCAGCTGAGGCATCTCTCTGGCTTAGAGAGAGATGGCTTGAAATTTAAAATTTCTGTAATGGCATTGTTATATGGACTAGCCTTCCTCTTTTCCTCCTCCCTCCATCTCTTCCTTCTTTACTCCCTCCCTTCCTGTCTTCCTTTCTTTTATCTTTTAATCCATTATTTCCTTCCTCTATTTCTGTTATTCTAACTCATGGGATTTCTTTGGATATCTTCAAATAAAATTCTGAGTATTTATTTTACCATTTGTGTGTGTGTGTGTGTGTGTGTGTGTGTGTGTGTGCGTGTGTGTGTGTATGTGTTTCCTTATATCAAGCAATCCTTTCTAAAACTTTTTTCTTATGAAAACTCAGTACACTTCAAAATGGGTTTAAAAAAAAAACAAGTGATATCACTCACTTATCACAAATATATACAGGTAAAATAAAAACAAAGCCATTGCCCTGGGATGGTCTATCACACCCCTCTAGAATTAACCACAATTTGCATGTATATTAATCACTTTTCTTGCTTTTCTTTGTCTTACCACCCATCATACTAATGAAGCACTAGGTTTAGTTTGCTAGCTGTCCTCTAGGTTGTTTGGTTTGGGCTTGTTTTTAATGCACACAAATGGAATTACATTAATGGATGACCTTCTAGGGCCAACATTTCAATTACACTTGTAACATTATAATGGTTTTTACTGCTATGAGGTACACCACTGTATGAGCTTACCAAAAATCTGTCTGTTCTGCCATTTGGGTCTGGGGTGAGGAGTGTCTCTCTGGGTATTATTCCTTCTTGTCTTGGTGATACTGCATACATCTTCAGTGGATGTGTGTGTGTGTGTGTGTGTGTGTGTGTGTGTGTGTGTGTGTGTGTGTGTGTAATGTCATTTTCTAAGAATGTATCCATTTCATCCAGATTTCAGATATATAGGATATATATATTAGGATTGAAAAGCCAGGGATATGTATCTTTGGCATTTTTGAAAGTAGCATCTGCTTACACTCCCATCAAGGAAGGGACAGTTCCCCCTTCTCTATGTCTACACCACACTAGGTATTCTTTTTGCTCATCTGTTTATTGTCATCCCAGGATTTAAACTTCCATTCCCTTGATTGCTAATGAAGCCAAGAAAAAGCAAAGAAATCTGTTGAGATTTTTATTGGAATTACATTTAATCTATAGATGATAAGGGGAGAATGTTGTAAACCAGCCCTCTAACACATTTGCTGAGCTTATCTGGTAGAGTCCTTTTCATTTTCTCAGCAATGCTCATGTTTTCTGCAGATGCCTTGCAGGCTAGCATGTCATTTATTATATTTATTCTAGATATTTTATGTTTTATGCTGTAGCAAATGCTTTTGCTTCTAGTTTGTTTGTTTGTTTGTTTGTTTGAGACAAGATCTCACAATATAGCCTTGCCTACCACAGAACTCACTGTGTAGACCAGGCTAGTCTGAAGTTTGCAGTCTGCCTTCTTCAGCCTCCTCAGCAGTGCTGGGGTGCAGGCAGGAGCCACCATACCCAAGTCTATAAATGCTACTTTTTTTTTTCCCCTTCGAGACACAGTTTCTCTGTGTAGCTTTGTGCCTTTCCTGGAACTCACTTGGTAGCCCAGGCTGGCCTAGAAATTCACAGAGATCCGCCTGGCTCTGCCCCCTGAGTGCTGGGATCAAAGTCGTGCGCCACCACCGCTTGGCAAATGCTGCTTTTTATAAATTTCATTTTCAGGTGTGTTGCTGATATGTTTACAATGTGAATATTTTCAAATTTTACTTTTGTGCAACCGCAGTTGGTCTGTGAATTTGTTCAAATTTCCTTTGTATTTGATTATCTAGTGGACAATCTTACCCACTCCTCTTCTAAATTATGATGACTAATTATTTTATTGTTGTTTATTAAGACTAGGACTTCCTGCTGGGCGGTAGTGGCGCACGCCTTTGATCCCAGCACTCAGGGGGCAGAGCCAGGTTGATCTCTGTGAGTTCAAGGCCAGCCTGGGCTACCAAGTGAGTTCCAGGAAAGGCACAAAGCTACACAGGGAAACCCTGTCTCGAAAAACAAACAAACAAAAAAGAAAAAAGACTAGGACTTTCACTGGCTGTGATTTCCACCATGGTGGTGACAGTTTCAAAAGGGAAATAAGTTATAAGATTTTTTGAGGCCAGGTCTCATGTAAGCTAAGATGGTCTGGAATTCACTGTGTAGCCAAGAATGGCCTATGTTTTGAGGTTGATAACTCTTTAGAAAATAATCTTTTAGCTTCAGGAAATGCCTCATTACCATGCATAAGTTGAAGAAACTTGTTGTTGAGATGGCTCAGTGGGTAAAGGCTCTTGCTGCCAACTCTGATGACTTTCATTCAATCCCTGGAACCACATGATGGAAAGAGAGACCAGCCCTGGTAGCTGCTCTATAACTTTCAATACATATTGGCCATGTGCATTTGTATGTGCACGTGCACAGGCACACGATAAATAGAGTTTTAAAAGAAGTGTCTCTGATTTGCCTACAAATATGCAGTAATATGAAAATTTCTTCATCTATTACTTGACTAAAATGTCTGCAGACTTTTTAATTGAGTGTTTGGGAGTATGGTGTGCACCTGCACCCTTTTTCATGATGTAATTTCAATACGTACAGCATTGCCATTTTATTTCTTTTGTTTGTTGTAGTTGTCAGTGGTGGTGTTTGAGACAGGGTCTCACTGTAGCTCTGACTGTCCTGCAACTCGTTGTGTAGACCAGAGAGATCCACCTGCCTCTGCATCCTGAGTTCTGGAAATAAAGGCACACACCACCACACCCAGCCAACATACATTTTGTAATCTGTGTTTTGTAAAGTACTGTAACAGTTTCACATTTGCTCTACAGGGCTGTGACTCACAGGTGAGCTTGTCAGAGGTCTCCTGTGGTGAAAGCACATCCTCCTGTCAATCTCTGGAGCACGGCTCCGTTCCAGAGATCCTCATTGGGCTCCTTTACAACGCCACCACTGGAAGACTGTCCGCAGAAGTCATCAAAGGCAGCCACTTCAAAAACCTGGCAGCAAACAGACCACCCAGTGAGTGAAAGAAAGATTTTTATCCTAATGCTTTCTGCATTTAGGGGACAAGCATCATTTTAGTCTTAACCAATCACAATGAAACACTGAATCATCAGCCAATCTGTTTTATGTTTTCTGTTTCCAGTCATTTGGGAAGTAGAAAATGTGAGATTCAATATTAATTGTATGGTGACAGGAATTTTAAGTTTTCATAGTGTCTGAAGAATAATTTATCCCTACTATAGCCATTATCTTTTAATGCCAGAAAAAGTTACAGGGTTTTAAAAAGTAACTACTATTCACAGTATTTAAGAAAAGTAATGTAGCTTTTGTTAGCTAAAGATTAATGTTGTGTTTTCTGTCTGTGTGCAGTACTCTGAACTAATGTATCTACTTCTGTATTTCCCTTCTTTTACTGTTAACACCTCATGAAGAAAGTATTTTCTCCTTCTTTGAAATTATAGGTGTTAAAGATATATATAGTTGAGTGATACAGCATGTACTTAGCATGTATAGGCCAGGTTTTAGCATCAGCACCACACAAAAACAAAAAACAAACACACACAAAAACCATCACCCTACACAGTCAGCAGGCCCTTTCCTTCCCTGTACAAATGAAGTCAAGACAGCGCTTGCCCTAGGTGAACTGAGTGGGAGCGAAGGGCATCTGTCTGCTCTGACTGTGTCCTCTCCTCTGCCCTCTCTCCGTCTACTGACATAGGAGTAGGTTTGGGAATGCAGAGAAACTGTCCCTCCCCCACTCCAGAACTGTTGATGTCTGTGAGCCAGATCTCAATGGGGACAGAACAACTCCTCTAAATTTTTATAAATTAAACTTGTTTGTGCCCTGGACTAAAACTCTGAAAGGAAATTGTGAATGATTAATAGCTTAAATTTGTTTACAGATTTCCCACAGACATCCTTAATATACTCTAATCAGGGTGCCAGGCAGAGGGGAACTTTTTAAATGCCATAAAAATTCATTGTTCAGTGCAGGTGAGACATCATAAAAAGATAATTGTTTGTGCCAAGAAATGTTGGAAAGCTTACTTCATACATCATAGAATACATCTGTCCCTAAATTGAGAAGTCTGGAGGGCAAGGCTAAGGAGATAGCTCAGCAGTGAAGAGCCCTGGTTATTCTTCCAGAGAACTCAGGTTCAATTCCCAGTACCTGAAAGGTAGCTCACAACCATCTATAACTCTAGTTCCAGGGAATCCAGTTCATTTTTATGGCCTCTGCAGGTACCAGATACACACATGGTGAACAGGCATACATGCAGGCTAAATGCCCATACACATAAAATAGTAATTAAAAAATTTAAAAGAAAAATCTAAGGAGAAAAATTATAATCTCCATAGACAAATGGCCTGACCCTACAAGTCTGTTTCTTAATAGGTAAAGTTAAGTTTCTGTCTCTTAACAGGGTGATTGTGAGAATCAGATCTGACAGAGGTACATAAAAGTAGAATTAGTGCCATCCACTTTCTCATTTCAAAAGGAATACTGAGTGTGTGAAAGAACATGCTAAGAACAAGCAGGCTGGGGAGTCTGACTTGATTGTCTTCATGCAGACCCACTAAGAATCTCCCCACCAAGGACTGGAGAGAACCTGAATGAGGTTTGCAGCTGGACATGTGAGCTTGTGAGGCTATGACAACCACAGCTGTGCTTGCCTGACTACAAAACACAGACCCAAAGACAGTGTAACATTGCACCAGGAGACAGGCGTTAGTCTGTGCCTAACGCTTAAGCTGGCAGTTCAATAAATTTTGACAAATACTTAATTGGACATGTCAAAAAGTAGCAGAATGAAATGATAGTGTGATATAGAAATAGAGAGCAGGGAGTCAGAGCGAAAGGAGCACAAGGCAAGGTGAGATAGTAAACATATTAAGAATGTTGGGCACCTACAACATGGAGTCTGTCCTTGGGGCAAAAGGGTGACTGACAGCAGTTGGCATTACTTTAGATTGAGATCTTCAGCCTCAAGTTGATTAGTGATGTTAGCTAAGAAGTCTCTAGTAAGTAAATAAAGCCAACTTTTAAAATAATGATATGAAGGTAAAGCATTTATAAAAGACGTGTAAGACATTTGCAAAGCAAAATTGAAGACAATTGTGTCATTATGTCCTAAACTGTAAGATTATAGCCCATCATTGATACTCAGGGTCTAAGCTGTGAACTGCTGTAAACCAGGTAACCTCAGATTCCCCGCCCCACCCCCTCCACAAGAAACAGGAGCAACCCACAAGAGCAAATATTCTGACAGTCGTATTTCATTTTGCACAATTCAGTTCTTGATTATATTGGAAGTAATCAGACTATTTGAAATACTAAATATTGCATGGGTAAAATTAAAATGTAACACAATAATAGTGATCCTATGATGATTGTACTTGATCTCTTATAGCCTGATAATTTGCATGATTCTATATGTTCAATGTGCTTTAGACCAAGAAGATACCATTATAAATATGTCCCCCTCTTAAAACAGTGTAATTTTTGTTTAAGATTACACAATGATGTTAATTTTTTTTCATTCCATGAAATTTATAAAAAAGCCCTTTGTTCAACCCTCTACTTGAATTAGAATGCTAAAGTTTTGTGTTTTTCCACTCAAGTGCAGTTTTCCTCTTTAATTCTGACCTTTGACCCTCTTTCACCCAACGATTGACATCTGGTCATTATTTCTTTTACTGCTTTCCACCCCCTGTTGTCAGATGGACTGTTCTGTTGTCTAAAACACTTGATAGGTGGACAGGTTTATATAATCCGAGGTGAGTTCCTGTAGAGGCTAATTGGATGTTGTCTTTTCATGCAAAAACGAAATGCCCTAAAACTTGCCAGCAGTGAGACTGTCCACCATGTTGGTTTCCAAAACAATGCACATTTTTATCTGTGGTATTTTAAACAAAACTAACTTAGACTTTATCTCTGATTATGGATGGTGGTATTCAGAATATCAACAAATGAGCAAAACTTTTTAAGATAAAAGTTTTTTTTATTTCTTTGTATTTTGATTTATGATAGAAATAGATATCTCATGAGAACTTTGCAATTATCTTTGAAATTTTGATATGAAGTACACATGATGGATCAACATGCTGAGATCATTTGCATGAGTCTAACAGACTTGAAAAGTCTTTTAAAGAGAGACTATATCTCCCATATAAAAAGGCCTTGAAATGTTACATTTCACTTTGTACACTAAACATCATGCCAGTGTTTTTGTAATTGATGAAAATAATTAAATATCATTCTTAAAATTTTATATTAAATTATGCCTGAAAGAAACCCAATAGTATTTAACCTACCCCTCACACCCCCCAAAAAAGCACATTAAATGTACTCTTGCATGAAACTGGAAGAAAGTTTTATTTGGTTTGCTAAACGTTGACCCCTTAAAGCATTTGGCTTCATTTGGGCCCTTAAATGTTTTCGATATATATTTAAAAACCACATCCATGCAGAGATTTTTTTGACATTTCATCTTAAGCTGTTTCGGTGTCACCTTTGCATTCTTGTCTTCCTCCTTTCCTCCTCCATCTGCCTTCATTTCTATTTGTTTGTTTATTCCTACTCTCTGAAAACAGTGGAATGCTGTAGTGTTGTGGCTAATTGAGCTTGCTAAGTGTCTATTAATGCTATGATGTCCTGCTTAGTGGAGTGAAATAGGGTGGTGATGGGCAGGGGAGGTTGTGGGAGGCCAGTGAGGGTGGGAGGGTGAAGGAAGGATTATGAGGTATACCTTTAAATTTCGTTCCTAGAAATAGTGAAGCTAAGCCGTTACTAATATCCAAGTATTTTCATCCAACTTAGCATTCTCTATACTTGTTATGTATTTAATAAGCATTAACATCAAAATTGAGTTAGTTCAGTTTCCATCAAACATGGTATACACCATATCCTTATAAAGCGTGACTACCTAATGGTGGCATTTATCATAAGAAAATTGTCAGTTTATTTTAAATGATATTTGTGGTGTGTTGGTTTTCTTCCTTCAGATACATATGTTAAGTTAACACTGCTGAATTCCATGGGCCAAGAGATGTCCAAATGCAAGACATCCACCCGCAGAGGGCAGCCAAACCCGGTGTACAAGGAAACTTTTGTTTTTCAAGTGGCCTTGTTTCAACTTTCCGATGTGACTCTGATACTGTCTGTGTATAACAAGCGCAGCATGAAAAGAAAGGAGATGATAGGCTGGATTTCCTTAGGTCTGAACAGCTCTGGGGAGGAGGAGCTCAGACACTGGACTGCAATGAAGGAGTCCAAGGGACAACAAGTGTGCAGGTGGCATGCCCTGCTGGAGTCCTGAGGAAGGCAGCTGTAAGCCGGCACTGCCATTGTTTCCTGGTCGCCATCAGAGGAGCCATCCCTGGAGAGTCCTGTCAGCACCCTGCCACAGTGCTTCACCCTTGCAAAAGGAAGGACTGTCCAGTGCTGAGCTGAGGGGGGGAGATGTCAGTAGTGCTCAGCAGTCCTCCAGAGACTGAACAACAGCTTTTGATTCAAAGTTTATTTAGTGAAAGAGCTAGGAATCTCATGGAGATTGTGATTTTAAAACCAGAATTTCCATTGCAGCAGTATGTATCATCACCCACATGCTATCCACAAAGCATTATGATGGCCAGTCCTTGGGCAGATCTCAGTGATCACAGTCATATCTCAAGGTTATTCACACTGATGACAGTTTCATTGCAGATATGTTCTCTGTGCCTCAGCCTTTCTTTATAGTTCTAAACCCAAGTGCAAAATTCCCTGAAGGGAAGTGTAAGGCTGGTTTCTTTGAAGTTTATTTCTTTATATCCTTCTTTTTTCTGATCCAAAGAGACCATGTCCCATTAGTCCCTTATAAAATTTTCTGACTGTACTGCAGAAACTTTATGTTCAAGCCCTTTGTACACTATGTGTTCTAGTGTAGAAAATGGTAGAGCAAAGCTCTCATTTGGAATTCTTTCAGTGGTCAGTTTTTACAGCTGTGTGAAGTGGCAGACACTGTAGATAGCTGTTGAAAATGGAAGACATTCTAGTTAAAAGGAATTTTGACTATTTGTTCATTGTCCAGTCTTCAACGGGAGTAAAGCAGGTAGCACCAAAACAGAAGCTCCTGGAGTCCTCACTCACTCACTACCATTTCTTCGTGGTTTTCAGCTTTAATCCAGTTAAGATCATTCTGGAATCCCTTGTGCTCTAGTGATTTGTGCTGTGTTTTGTGACGTCTTCAGCATGATGTCACTCTGTGCCTTTTCATGCAAGTTGACCTTGCTTACACAGCTGGGAAGCCGTATTTGCAAATTTGGACTTCAGCACTCATAGATGTGAAGGTCCTTGGCAATGCCATGTCGTTGCCCTGCTCTGCAGTGTGTGAGGCTGTGCACTGTGCTGGCCTACTTGTGACTGAGCACTTTCCTGTCTTGTTTTCATATTTAGAAACCATAGGCCAATTGGATATAATATAAGCTATTTTCTTCTAATTTTTCTTCTTACATAACATAAAATTTTATGCATATACTGTGCTAGAGTATTTCTTTTTGCTCTTTCTCATTTCTAGTTAAACTAGACAAAAATGTATTATTTACCAATTAGTGAAAAGCTGTATCACGGTTCCAATCCCAGCTGAGCACTCTGGACTGTTACTGTGAACTAGAACTCATCAGTACCATACTAGCAGAGCCACACACTGATTTATTAAAATGTGGCAGTATGAAAGGCCTTAAACAAACACACACACACAAGACCATGAACTTCTACATTTTTAGCTTAAAAGAAGGCATCTCTATGCTTTCAAACACAGCATTTTAAGAGGAAAAAAAATACAAATAGGAAGTGTGGAGTTAGTTTAAAAGCAGAAATTTCAGAGCCCAGCATGGTGGCTCATCTCTGTAATCCTAGCACTTGGGAGGCTGAGGCAGAAGGATTGCTGTGAGTTTGAGGCTAGCCTGGGCTATGTAGTTCCAGACCATCCTGGACTACATAGTGAAAAAAAAAAAGTTGCATTCAAAACTGTCAGGGCCAGGGAGTGGGCTCAGCCACTTAAAGGCTAGGTTCACAACCAAAAATTAAAAAAAAAAAAAAAAAAAAAAAAGTCCTTCTATCATTCTATTAGTGAGCTTCCCAGGATTGGTTTTTGGTTTAGTTGTTGTTGTTGTTGTTTTAAATAAAGTGAGTCAGGTTAGAAATTAAACCATGAACAAGAAGCAAAATAGTTCTTTTTTTAAGTTATTGAATGAATAACATAGTAAGGCAAAATGTGAAGAAGGCTATAGGTTACACTGAAGATTGGGTACAGGCATTCCATGCTACAGGGAGCTTTTGCTGGCTTTGAAACAATCAACCTGCATGGCTAACAACTGCTGTCTTCTTAATAAAGTCACTGGTCTTCTTTGTAACAAAGTTCAGTTGGACACTATAAGACCAGCTTGGTGCTTTCACTGTGTGGAGAGGAAAACCTGTTATTTGTTAAACCTCCTTTCTGGAGACTGCCCAGAACTGTGTGTACCCCCAAAGATCCTCAAGGGTATCTGGTGTGTCACTCCATGTATGGCCTGGAAATGATCTCAGTCTTTTTTTAACATCAGGAACAGCCCTCCCTCCATCCCATTTTCCAAGTCCTCAATGATTATAAATTGTGTGTGTGCACATAACTGCACACACCACACAACAAGCTGTGCACATGCAAAGGTGAAGGTGCCTTGCCTTTTCACGTAACTGAATAGAGAGGCATTTCTCCAGGTCATGGACTGCTTTTTTCTCCTCTGTAAAATTTCTAAATGTGATATTAGGTTTGGAGCTAGATGCTGCCATTCTGCCACATATACACAAATATGCATCCTTTTCTCTCCTGTGACTTAACACAAATACTTCCCCCAAATTATCTGGGCCACAGATGTTGTCTTGGGAACTTGAAAACGACAGTCTACACTCTTAACTGTTCTGCTAAAATCAAATGAAATGTCCAGACTCAACAGTTGACTGGAATACGGGGTATTTTCAGCCTCCCCAATGTGGCTGTTGATTGCTGTCCAGGAGTACAGTATTGTCTGACCTCTCAGAAGCTTCTGTAATTTTGGAGCCTAAGTACAAGCTGCCTTTGATTTGAAATACGATTGCATATTATCTTAATGCACATTGATGAATTCCTCAGTAGTGTTGTGTTCACTAACAAAAGTAATTCATTAGACCATGTTTTAAGAAAAAGAAAAATACTTAAACTGTCTGAATGACTATGCTGCTGCTGTGAAGTTGGGTGTTGGTAGGGGGTCTAATCTGATCTGTGTACAACACAGCTCTGTGTGTTATATTACTGCTTCTTCCCTAAGCTGGGAGCATGACCAGTGCTTGGGAGTCTAACTTGCATCAATAGGCAAGCAGAAACAGAGTCCAGGCTGTTCTTGACAATGAGGAATAAAAATGATATCATAGCTTTTTAAGGAAACCAAGAAATAGGTGAGCTTTTGAAGTATAAGTGGTAGAAGGCCAGTGGTCACCAACCAGTTTCTCAAAATCCTTGTTCAAGTATCAATAGACAGGACACAAAGTTCATTTGCAGAAAGCTGCCATTTAGCTCCATAGACTGGAGAAATCATAGAAAAAATTCTCATTGCTAGTTGTTATAAGTTTCTTTGTCTTACCTTCTTTATAATCCATTTCTTCCTCTTCATCTGTCAGTTGAAAGTGGCCATCTGTGTCGTTGTCACCAGCCAGTCTGATACTGAAAGAAGGTGAGGCTTGCAGTATAGCACTTAAAACATCACTTGTGCCCTCCAAAGCTGCAATACTGATGATGGTTACGGCTTCAACTTAGTAAAGAACTGAGACAATAATTTATTATTTTATTTGACTCTCACAACATATAAGAGGCAAGTAACATCCCCAGTGTTTTTAATCTGTGAAGAAACTGTTGTCTGGAGAAGCCGAGCTGTCCCCCTAAGGGTGCCCCTCTCTTAAGTAAACCACAGTAGAACTGGGATCACTCCAAGCCCACTCATGCACATTGCATCTTCACCCTCTTTATCATGGGTGAAAAGAGCAGCATTGTACTGGGCAAGTCCTGCCCAGCTTATCTGAATGGCAGAGATAAGAGTAGAGCTTAGAAAGCAAAAAGACAGTCGAGGAGGCTTGCCCTCTCAGGACACAAATAGTACTTTGGTATCATAATTGGGGTGATTTTTGTTTTTAAGGACTTGAGATTTGTACAGTGTCTACATTGTACTTGATTCTGAAAATATATCAATTCAGTTGTTCTTCTTGACCAAGGTATTTTCATTATCTGTATACACCTTTCTACCCTGTGAAATGACAGACTATCTGCTAACCTGTCATATCAGAGTAGAGGAGAGACTGCTGCCTTCCTGTGCACGTTCATGTTCTTTTGTTAAAGTTCATTAATATTAGACAAAACTCACACCTAGCCTCCCTCCCCTTCGTTGTTAGTAATTGCTATGTTCTAGAGACTTTAGGAGCCCATTTGCTAATAGGAGGCACAGAACAAATGCTGGTGAATGAAATCTCTGATAGAATCAGCACTACTGTTGTGAAAGTCTTCTGTTGTGAGCCTTGTTCACTGACTGGGTTTCCTTTTCTCTGTTTAATATATATGTGTAAGAATCCCAGCTGTGTGCCATGTGCTGTTGTAGGGGCTACAAGTTGGATGGACAAGTCTTCCTTCATGATCTTGTGTTCTCTTGAGACTGGCATTGGATGATGTCTTTTCATAAGATACGAGGTGTAGAGAAAGGTGTGTGCAGGGCACTGGGGTTGAGTAGGAAAGTAAACTGTGAATTCAGCAGTACTACTAGAAGATGAGAAAACATGGGTTGGACTTGCAACAAACTCCCAAAAATCCACAGACAGTGGCTCCTAATTTGTAATGTACCTAAGATTTCTCTCTAGGTTCTATCTGGAGATTCTGTTCCATTTGGTGTTGAGGAAAGCCTGAGAGTCTGGATCTGAATGAGCTTCCCAGGAAATCCTACCTGGGCAGAACTGGGATATAATACTTTGTTTCTTATCTGTAATTGTTGGCAGCAGTTTCAGTACCCAGAGATTAAGTCTTAGTGTGGAAGTGGTAAGATTTGTAGTTTCCAGGTAATTGTAAGGAAGCCAGCTTCTTGGGAATGAAGAATCTTAGGCCATTGTATCATATTCTCTCTTTCTGATCTCTCTGAAGTTGCTTTAAGAAAATGATTTCCAAAAATACAAAACTGAAGCTAATACCATAAAGTTAGAGGAAGGCCTTTTTAAAAGTGAGGATGACATTTTGGCAGTTTTGTTGGATAAATAACTGAGGACACTGATACGTCCTGTAATGCACTGGCATCTTCAACAAGTATGCTGACATGGTATTGAAATGTTATTTCAGGCAGAGAGAGAAATGTGTCCCAAATAATTTGAGTTTACCAAGAGAAAAACTATAGTAGTAACGTAGTTTAAAACTTTATTTATTCTGTTTCTACATAGTTTTATTACAATAACTTTCTGGTGAAAACAGTATAGCAATTCTGAGGCACTTTAAAGCTGATACAGAGGGGACAGCTTTTGCCTTAGGTGGCAGTGACTGCCATGTCCCAGCAAGTTGGCTGGACTTGTACCTGACTTCCGAAATAAGATAGTGTATCAGAACTGTTCCCAGTGCTTGAGTCATGAGTTTTAAGAGTCTGATAAGTGTTGGGACCTAGTCTTTTTCTAAAACTCAAGAGGTTCATCACTGCTTGGTACTTCTGCCCTGGGACTTTGCTTCTCAAAATAATGTAATTTTTATAGAAAAAAACTCAATCGATGGATCTTTTTACTCAGTATCCCCTCTCTTTCTTCCTCCCCTTTCTTTCTTTCAGTTTTTGAGGCAAGAAGCTTCCTTAATAGTCTAGTTTCTACGGAGCTTTCTTACTTATTTTTCTAATAATAGGTGTAACCGAATGATGACATTTAACTGCTCTGTGAGCAGAATTGTCTCAACCAACCTGAAGAAGTGTGCTGCCTATTGGTGTTTCCTTTGGTCTCAGCTGTCTCTAACACGTTTGCTAGTGACTCACCCATGAGTGAACTTCGCTCATGTACATAGTACGTCCATGTGGTCGGTCATCAGCAGTGCTGTGTTGTTGTCACATATTTATATGCACTTGATCAAAAATAGAAGCTGACAACTGTGTGAGCCATCATTTTGTAGAGTGAACGGCTGAACCACCTTCGTGTCACTGGAGTTGCGCTGTGCGTCCGTTGCCTTTAACTCTCATACCTTCTTTTGTACTCTCTACACCGACTATCGCGGTGCCTTTTTCCTTTTGTATAATTGTATTACATAAAGAAATTGCTGACTTGTGTGTAAAAATGTTAAAATTACACCAGTCCAAGGAGATTTTAATGGCAGTTCAATTTTCCAGAGAATAAATTTTTGTGTGCATTAAAAGTTACTTTTCTTCACATTTATGTAAACGTTTTAGCACTCTCGTGGAAGGATAAACATTCCACTTCTCCCATGATGATACATAAAACTCATCCTAAATTCGCACTCCCATCCAAGTGTTAACATGACTATAGCAGAATGGGCTAATGTCAGTTACATACACAAGTGGATCTGCGTGTCCCCAAGATCAGGTTTGAAAAGAATCACATATGCTATCAAATACTGTTGTCAAAATATTTGGATCATATTTTTTTCACTGTGAGTCAAATCTGACCTCCAAAGAAAAGAAGACTCCAAGCAAACATTTTAAAATGATTCCTTGAAAGTTGTTAGAAATCAAGAATGGAATAAGTGCTTTAACAGGCTGGACTCCTCAGCTGGAATGTGGCATGGATCCCATTACCTAGCTTTGTCTTTCCTTGGCTGTGAGCCTGTCATTGGATTCCTGTTAACAAGTCCTTTTTCTAAAGGCAGCAGTATAAAGTATATTGTCTACCACAGACCTTGTGTTTAGGTTCTTTACATGCTACATTACCGAGTCTGTTTTGTTTCCAGGATGATAACAACCTGTTTAACAAACACTCAAGCATTTGGTGCTTCAGTCTGACAGAAATTCAAGTTGCTACATCACCTCATTTCTGTTTGATTGTCTTTGAATCCTGAGTTCCATCAATTGACCAGCC